TAAATTAAAAGAGAGCACGTGGCATAGGGGTCCAAAGTTTCTGTACAACAGCCTTACAACTGTCACCAACGATAGGGACACGGACGCAGAAATCTCTCCCGACGATCCAGAGGTGCGCAAAGATTCTAATGTCTTGGCTACTCACGTAGAAGTCTGCTCGACCATTGGCTCAGAGCGCTTCAGCAGGTTTTCAGAATGGTCCAAACTTCAAGGTGCAATCGCAAAGCTGATCACCGTTGCACGATCAAAGAGTGAAACACTCTCGCAGGACAATGTCACCGCCACCCAGTCTTATCATAAAGCAAAGGTTGTCATCATCAAAAGTGTCCAACGGCAAGCCTTTGGCGAAGACATTGAACGCATCACACGCTCAGGAAAGGTTTCCAGACTGAGCGTTCTAGAGAAGCTGAGCCCCATAATAGACGGAGAAGGAATCCTTCGAGTAGGCGGACGACTTAACCAAGCAGACCTAGCCAACGAGGAGCGGCACCCCATTATCCTGCCCAAGTCGAGTCACGTCTCATCTCTTCTGATCAGACATTACCACGAAAGAGTACAGCACCAGGGAAGAGTTCTAACGCACGGTGCACTTCGCAGAAGTGGGCACTGGATCTTGGGAGGAAAGAGATTGATTAACAGCATCATCGAGAAGTGCGTGAAATGTAAGAAGTTGAGAGGTCAATGCCAGATCCAAAAAATGGCCGACCTACCTGTGGACCGAATTAGTCCCGCGCCCCCGTTCAGCTATGTTGGTCTCGATGTATTTGGCCCCTGGCAGATTTGCGCCCGGAGGACCAGAGGGGGCCTTGCTCACAGCAAACGCTGGGCCGTACTATTTGCCTGCATGTCAACCCGTGCAGTGCACATTGAAGTCATTGAGTCTATGGATACTTCGAGCTTTATTAATGCACTCCGCAGATTCCTAGCTATAAGGGGACCGGTCATCCAGCTTCGCTCAGACTGCGGCACCAACTACGTAGGAGCATGCAACGAACTTCAAGCAGTGCTAAAACCTTCCGACGCTAGCTCTGTTAAAAGATATCTGCTGAAGGAAGGTTGCTATTTAATTCACCCCACGCTTCGCACACAGGCGGTGCATGGGAAAGAATGATAGGCGTGGCGAGACGAGTATTGGAAGCCATGTTAGCGGATGTCTCGCCGAAAAACCTCACACACGAAGTCTTAACAACCCTGATGGCTGAGGTATCGGCTATCGTTAATGCTAGGCCGCTCGTTCCAGTCTCCAACGATCCAGACGCGCCTGAAGTTTTGACCCCAGCGACATTGCTTACTCATAAGCCGCAACACCTGAAACCGCCAGCTGGGGAATTCAGTGCTGCGAACCTGTCACACAAACAATGGAAACGCGTCCAACACCTAGCCGATGTTTTCTGGTCGCGATGGAGGAGAGAGTACCTACCAACGCTGCAACCGCGTAGAAAGTGGCAAAACACGACCCGCAACGTGCAGAAGGGCGACTTAGTCATTCTCCGCTGCAAAGACGCCCCAAGGAACGACTGGCCCCTCGCTAGGGTCACCAGAGCTCACACCGACAGTGACGGAATGGTGCGCAGGGTAGACTTAGTAACCGTTCGTGGGAGCTCAAGGAGGCATTATAAACGCCCAGTTACAGAAACCATCCTGCTGCCGTCAGAGACCCAATGAATCCAGCTGGATCACTGACACTTTTCCCTCTTTATTTTTTGTCTCACTTTACCGAACAATTTAGTCAGTAGTGGTATTCTCGAATACCAGGCGAGGAGTGTGCCGTCACGCCACTGAACATTATATAAACAATCATTTTTCTGTTTCGTGATTATTTCCGCTTGAGACGTAGGTTAGTCATTTTAGAGATAGTATCTGTCGTAAATCCTTATTATTGGTCAATCTGTTACGCTCGGATTTCCTTTAGCAAAGTATAAAAGTCATTGTCTTATTTACTCTCTAGTTTTTTCACATCAACCAAGCCTATGTAAGTTCTTTCCTTTTTTACCATATAAAAAGTAATTTTAACTTCGCTGGTTATGCTGCCCTATCTCGGCCAAGACCAAATATCGGTCGAGGTAGCGGAACAGTATGATTTAGGCACAACCCAGCAGCAGCGGTCAGCTATGGCAGAGGCACACCAAGTACAATTTTCCCTTGTTTCCATATAAACTTTAGGGTTAAATCAGTCTCCTTTTCTTTCCAATTACAATGTTTTTACAGGGTCAAATCAGTCTCCCTTTATTGATTTACAATGTCTTTACCTGGACAAATCAGTCTCCCTTTATCGATTTACAATATTTTTACAGGGTCAAATCGGTATCCCTCTCTTCGATTTACAAGGTTTTTAGAGGGTCAAACCAGTTTCATTTCTCCTTTTTCATTTCTTTTTTTTTCGACTTACAAGGTTTTTACGGGGCCCAATCAATGTCTTGATTTACATGATGTTTACACGTTATTTACATGTTCTTAGAAAAAAGATTTACGGGCTATTTACAAAGATGATACTGTAAATATGTGTAAAACATTTTACACGTTTTTACATGGTCTCCTATCTATTACCGCCGAAGGACGCTGGCTGTATTTGTTTTTTACAGTAATATTAAATGGCGAGGTAAAACTGAAAATTGACGTACATTCTATTTTACAACCCCTATGATGTAAATTAGAATTTGCAAACACGTAAATTGTATTTTACAGGGTGCGATTTCATTTTTACATGTGCCTGTAAATTTTCAACTTTTCCAGTGTACTGTATAGAATAAGGAACAAGAACGCGCTTACAGCGGTATTGAGTCTCGCCTGCTTGGAGATTACATCGAGAAATGAGGAGGCGATTAATTCTATAAGAAACATGATTTACTCGCTGAAGGTTTTTTACTTCCTACTTTATCGATGTCGATACTTTTTATTTGTTTCTGAATCGATTTAGTACGCGTGTTAGCGACGACCAGAAATACCCTGCAGTAGCAGGCTATACGCGTATATAAATACACGAAAATTTAAGGGCCTCGATTCCAGAGAAATTACATCATTGCCAGATATCTAAAAAGTGATTTACATGGCATTTCATTTCAATCATCGCTAAAAATAAATCGTATGCTCATCACAAGACTCATTTGCAGACAGTGAAAGTTTACAACAGCCGAGCAACGCAATTGTGCTAACTAAGATTCTTATTTTTTTTCAGGCCACTCAGTAGTGTTCAATTGTTCCAAAGAAATCAACGCTTTCAAGTGATAGAATTCGTGGACCGACACGTTTCGGAAAAGCTTAAAGCTTTAAATTTAATCTTTCCTAAGCTTTTTTCGCAAAACATGCGTGTCTTCGATCACGCAACGATTCTTAGTCCCAGTTTCCGCGGTCTCCGCAAGGAACGCCTGGCACAATGACCTCCCTTTTGTGTCCTAAATATGACCAAAAACTGTTACGGCACGTACACGGTAGTTGACGTAAACATTAAAAGCGAAATGGTTTATCGCCAAATGATGAAGAAGTAGCTAATTCTTCTAAAACACATACCCAATTCAAGACTAGAGTGCACAAACCATACCCTATTTGAATAAAATGGTCGAAATTGATACACTATATAAGGGACTATCCCGCCGGAGCGGAAAACGCGTTGCAGATTATGAGTCTCGCTGCTTACGCAAGCGAGACTAATAAAATATCCAAGATGAAAAAAATATGTGGCTGTGTTATTCAGGAGATGGTTTCGATTTCCTCAGCTTTGAGTATTAATAACACCGTGATTGCCAGTGATTATTGTAACTCGATTTTAACTCGATGTTGGCGAGCTATGATCTGAAGCATTGTCAGCGTTATTAAAGAAAAAATTGTTCCCACTGCGGTCTGCTGTGCCACCAATCGGCTGCTGTTGTCTGATCGTTGGGCTGTCACAGTTCTGGAATCTCAATTCCACTGTCGCTATTGATGTTGCAGAGTTTTAAGTGAATTGTCTCCTTCGCCCTACAAGAGTACCAATGAGGGTCTCGGTAACCTTCATAAATCGTTTTATGCCCGGTCTTACTAGCGCGTTCAGAATTGGCTGAGGTTTGAGTTCGTGATTGTTGTATGTCCATGTCAAGTTCGAGCTCCTATGGTACTACGATGATATTGCGTAAACACTCTAGAAAGTTACAACTTCATTGATGTCTACATAATATGAGCCACGCTAGAAGCACTATTCCTACCTTTCCGGATCCAGTTTACCACTAAACGTTGCCAAAACGCCCTAATGTACAAAAAAATATTTATTTCAATTCTTAAATCAAATGATCCTTAACTTGTTCACGACTATATGACTGACCTCGAAGGATCCCAAGACCTCTTTTGGCACATGTGGTTTGAAAGGGGGGCGGGTAAGGAGGGGTTCAACGGTCGATTGATTACCCATGATAGTGTGGCTACGTTTTTCAGCGTCCTTTTTTAAAGTCTTTAAGAGTCTCTTTCAACCACAGTCCTTTGAGTGCATATAAGTGAGAAGCAACCATTTTTGGATTAACCGAAATTCAGGATAATCGTTTTTTCTGTTTTCATCGTATTATATCTCAGAATTCCTTTGCCTTCTTTCTTACTTGTCTGATAACCTTGCTTGACTAACTATTGCTACTAAATTTAAATTTGCTTTGCAAGAGTTGCTTTGCCTTGCATTTTTGTCGGCATCTTTTTTAAGCCTGGACTGGGCAAAAGGTTTTTGCGATCTTCGCTTGCTACGAATTCACAATATCTATGCCGTTTTTAGACATCAGGAGACCGATAGTGGTCAGAGTAATTTTCAAACGTCGACTGATGGTGAGAGTCTGCTAAATGGTTCTGAAAAGCGACCAAATTCAGAAATCATTGCCGATATTGAGGGATTGAAACTCGATTTATTGATCCTTCAGAAGCAAGTTCAAGAAAATACAAAGCTTCTGTCGATGGAAAATATTCAAAAACAAGATGGAAATGCTTTAGGTGTCGAGCTCCTCGACTACAAAAAAGAAGTGTGAAAAGTTATTATCCACTGTATCTAAAAAAAAAAAGACAATGCAATTAATGAGTTGGAAGAAAAATGTTTGCTCCTTGAAAGCCGAGTTCTGTCATTAGAGCAAGAAAATGATTCTTTAAAGTTAGCACTAACAATCATTACGCGAGAAAAGAGTGAAGTTGAAAACAATCAACTACAATCAAGTGATCGTTGGTCCGTAGCAAAGCCGCACCCGAGAAGTACAAATGCAAAACATAGGCAGAAAACAATGCCCACTAATATAATTCAAACCCGTAACGGATTTGAGCCTCTTCAAGTTGAAGATCAAATTGAAAGAAATGTAAGCAATCAGAATGGGAATAGCGCTGTCAAAGGACACAGAACATCTCCGTCGTCCTCAGAGATCAGAACGCGCAACGCTGACTTAATCAATTCGTCAAATCAACTTGATCATTCACAGCCCAACCGTCAGAAGAAAGTTATTATAGCGGGGGATTCTACTCTTAAATACCTACAAAGCCATAAAATGTCCAAGAATTCACAAGTTAAGATAGCCACCTTTCCGGGATGCACAACGCAAGACATGAAGGATCATATCAAGCCACTACTACGCAGAAACCCAGACGAGATAATTATCCATGTGGGAACCAATAGTTTACGATCCTCCAATACTCCTCGTGAATGTGCAGTAGAACTGATTGACCTAGCCGAAGCAGTCAGCTCTGAATCCTCAGCCATGATATCTATATCCGGTCTCATCAATAGATCTGATGATGAAGCCCTTGCATTTAAAGTACCTGACGTGAACAAAGTTCTTAAGGAATGCTGCAAGCAAAAGAACTGGGGTTTTGTTGACCACTCTAACATTTCAATAACTAGCCACTTAAATCGAAGTGGTCTTCATTTAAACAAGAAAGGCACCACGCGCCTAGCTCAAAACTTCATTAACCATTTACGTGTAGACTAGGATATTGCCGTCTGGGAATCCGACTCGGCTGATGTCCATAAGGGTACCGACCGCGGTAAGTCCAGCTGTCCCACAATCTTTGGTCGAGGTTTAGCTATAGCATCCCTTAACATTAATAGTCTGTTGTCTCATATTGACGAACTTAGAGTTTTTATGTCCTCTTCAAAAGTTGATATTTTACATATCAACGATATTTTACATATCAACGAGTCAAAATTAGACTCTACAGTACGTGATGACGAAGTTTACATACCCGGCTTTGAAATAGTCAGAAAAGATCGTAAAATTAACGGAAGGAATGGAGGTGGAGTATGTACATACGTACGCACTAATCTGAACTATCGAATACGTAATGATTTAAATAATGATCTTTTAGAGTCTTCTTTTTGTTGAAATCAGTAAGCCACGAAGTACACCATTTCTGGTCGGTACTTGGTATCGACCCCCAAGTTCTTCACCCAATTTATTTAGCGAATTTGAGAATGTTATTGCTAAAATTGACGCGGAAAATAAGGAATTATATTTACTCGGTGATATCAACTGCAATTTGTTGCCTGAAGCAATTACAGTCAATTCTTCCCATCTGATAAACATTTTCGATATATATGGTCTTAGTCAGTTAATCACTGAACCAACACGTGTCACCCAGAACTCAAAAACATTAATTGATTTATGTATAACGAACTCCCCAGATAAGATTACAAATTCCGGTGTCATTCACCTTGGCATAAGTGATCATTCTCTTGTTTTTTTGTCACGTAAGACTCAATACTGCCGTATTGGCCCTCGCGTGATTGAAACACGGCAATTTAAACACTTTAACAGAGGAAAATTCTTAAGTGACCTCAATCAACTACCTTGGGCCAATGTTGATTTGTATTCTGATCCCAATGAAATGTGGCATGTATGGAAAGAAATGTTTCTTGGCTGCGTCGATAAACACGCACCACTTAAATCCAAAAGAATTCGGAAAAAACGATCTCCATGGATTACTAGAGAGTTACTGAGCAAAATCCGAAAACGAGATTTCCTTAAAAAGAAGGCAATCTCCTCCAATAACCCGGCTATATGGGATCAATTTAGGTGTGCAAGAAATCAGGCAAATAACGCAATTAAACTCGCAAAAAAACTCTATGTTTCTGACAACCTGGAAGCCAACAAAGGTAATTTGCGCAAAACATGGAATGTTATCAACGAGCTAACTTCACGTAACAGTGGTAAGTCAACGAATATTTTGGAGATCAAGGTAGATGATAAAATAGCAAGTAACCCTTTGGACATTGCGGAAACTATTAACGATCACTTTACAAACGTTGCGCAAGTATTAGCACAAGATATTCCTGTTGTCGATGTTAATCCTGAGTCTTATTTAAAGCCTACTGACCATTCGTTTTCTCTGCAAATTCCGAGTGTTGATATTGTTTCTAACGTTTTGTCGAAAATTGATGAAAAGAAGCCACCGGTCTTGATATGATTCCGAGTAAATTGTTGAAAATGGCTGCTAATATCGTCGCACCCTCTCTTACCTCAATATTCTCAAAGTCTATTCTCACTGGGATATATCCAAACGATTGGAAAACAGCCAAAGTGACTCCACTTTTTAAAAGGGCATTAAATCGGACCCTAACAACTACAGGCCGATATCTGTAATCCCTATAATTTCGAAAGTTTTTGAAAGAATTGTTTATAATCAACTTTTCCATTATCTAGATGATAATAAATTGCTACTAGGTTGCCAATCAGGGTTCCGTTCTCTACATAGTACGCTCACGGCTTTGCTTGAGGCAACAAATGCTTGGTCAGTAAACATCGACAATGGCCTTCTAAATGGCGTTGTCTTTATTGACCTTACTAAGGCATTCGACACCATTGATCATGAGATCATCTTGCGTAAGATGTCGTACTTGGGTGTCGATCAGGCAGCTATAAAATGGTTCTCGTCGTACTTAAGTGGCCGAACCCAAAGATGTAATGTCAGTGGCAAACTATCATCTGCTCGTACCCTCAGTTGCGGCGTGCCGCAGGGTAGCATATTGGGTCCTTTGCTATTTTTAATTTACATTAATGATCTTCCCAACTCCTGCGGGGCGCCGTACCAAGAATGTTTGCCGACGACACCAACCTTACGTTATCTGCTAAGACGTTAACAGAGCTTAAGCTAGCTCTAACCCCTGAATTCAATAACCTTAGCTGTTGGCTGAAAGCTAACAAGCTCAGTCTAAATGTTGCTAAAACAGAGCTAATGATTATTGGATCAAGACAAAGACTATATGCCCAATGTGACGATGTAGAAATCAGAATTGATGACCAAATTATTAAGAGAGTCGATCATACCAAATCCTTGGGTCTTACCATAGATGCTCAACTCTCTTGGGGTAAACACGTTGAAGAGATTTGCAAGAAAGTCTCTTCAGCTATAGGCGCCCTAAAACGTGTGCGGCCCTTTATATCCAAAGAAACTGCAATTCAAATTTATAACGCTTTAATTATGCCTCATTTTGATTACTGCAGCCCCGTCTGGGACTGTTTGAGTGGTTACTTGAGTGATAAGCTCCAAAAATTACAGAATCGTGCAGCCAGAGTTATTACTAAATCACCCTTTGATGCGAGCTCAAACCACCTTCTCTCCACCCTCAGCTGGGAGAGGCTATCTCTTCGACGAAAGAAACAAAAAGCCGTAATGATGTATAAAACCATGAATGACCTTGCTCCAGAATATCTGCAAAGTCTTTTCTCTCAGCGTCACTCTGCTTACAACTTAAGAAACTCTGAGGGAAGGCTGACCTTGTCCAAACCAAGCACCAATTATTTGAAACGAAGCTTCTCTTACAGCGGGGCCATGTTATGGAATAACTTGCCCAAAAACTTAAAAAACGCTCCATCCGTTGAGCATTTTAAGCGAAATATCAAGAAGGTAGCTGATATATCGGATTCCCACACGGCAATCATGTAAAGCAGTTGTAATTAGTTTTAGTTTTTAACTTAAGCTTAACTGATGTTTTCCCGTGTTTAAATAAAGATTTACATACATACATACATCATATTTATTCCCTTGAACAGTGCAACGCGTATGTGTCTCGCTGATGTTGAAAGTTCTTCTTCTCCTAGCTAATCCAATAAAAGAAATCACCAACGTGCGATTTGAGAGAAACTTCCCACGCCCATGGATTAGCGATCACTCCGAAAAGCTTGGTTTTGAGCTGGACACGCGTCACCTTCAGCAATTTTAAATAATCGTTTCAAAAAACGATTATTGCTTAACCTTGATGGGTGAATTTAGAATTTAGAACGCCACAGTTGACCATTTCTTCACACGATCCTCCCAATAGGAAATATCTTCCGGTTCCAACGCCGGTACACACTTTCACGTTGAGACTCGTAGTATGCAAAACGTTGGAATTCTCGCGTTGCTTACTTCCTTAATAACATTTCGTCACTTTAAAACAAAGAAAGAGAAGATGCCTTGAAATCTTTCATTTCCAGTTTAAGCAAGTCAGCAATGCCTTGTCCAGTATACAGCGCCCACCCACTACTTCAGGTCGTATGGATAATGAAAGCCGAATAAGAGTTTTTTCCATTCAGTGGAGTTAAACGTTAAAGCAAAAAAAGCACAGCTCACTGTGCTTGAAAAGTCATGCAATAGAGGCTGTTTCTTCAACAAAACAAAAACGTGCGAGTTGTTTAGCAACAATATGCTGCAAAACGAGTTGGAAGGTGAAGTTGCGTGGTTTATCACCCACGTTCAAACATGTCTTTCAACATAGTCCTGATGTTTCCCTCCACTTCGTCTCGGGAAACATCAGGACTCTCGGGAAAACAAAACTACCTGTTTCCCTCGGGATCTGACATTAAGTGTATAATGGCTCTTTGGGATAATACAATCGATATTTAAAATTTTTCCCAAAAAGGTGCCTTAAAACGTCAAGGAAATATGGACACAGCTGCAAATGAGTACACACGAGTAACGTAACTCATCTGTACGTGTAAAGATTGTGCAAAATAAAAGCTGAAATTCCTAACTAGTTACGATTAAAACTGGCTGACAATGGACGTGCGTTGACTGGTCCTTGATGTACTGGTCAGTGTTAACAGGACTGTCTTCCTTATTTTTGCAGGTATCTTTACTCCAACAAAATTGTCCAACTTTCGCCTGGGGCGTTTTGGAATCTCCCTAAGTTAGAATGGTTGTAAGTTTGAATTTTTGTATTTAGTCCTTTGCTAATTAATGACCAAGACTAAAACACTAGACGTGTGTTAAGTATAACGAGTATCATAAATGTCATAAATATGGACACAGCTGCAAATGAGTACATACGAGTAACGTAACTCATCTGTACGTGTACAGGTTTTTACTGAACGACTGCCGTGACATACACGCACTGTAGAGGTACTACACGAACAGATGGTAACAGTCGCTTTTTTATGAATAATATGACTAACAGCCTGAGAAAATTAAAAAAGTCATATTCTGAAAATACAGAATTTAGCTGTTGGTTATTCCCTTATCCATTGAGTGTCTAAGGGACAACAATTGGAATCCAGCAAACATTTTTGGGAATTACTTCTATCTCTCTATCAGCGGTCTCACTGTATTGTACAGTCAATGCTTTCTTCTTTGCTAAGTTAACAGAGAATTTTTTTATATGATAAAGACTAAAACTCTTCGCGCAAGCAAACGCCTGACGCTGCACTCGTCTGACTGGTTTGCTTTCTGGCGATTGCTTTTTAACCGGCGGTCCCTGAAATTCTTGATAAGCAGGAAAGTCTCTTATGCTAGTCCTCTGGAGATGCGAAAATTGATGTGTATACCTCTCCATCACATTATATGATTTCAAAACCCATTAAACTGACGGCTTCCTGGCTTAAGTTTGCTGCTCTGCCTCGAAAACATCGAAAGCGTTTGTATGGTGTGGAAAATTTTACCAGTAAATTTGTTCTGATGAGGCTACTGGCTTTTGGGAGCCACGTGACAAGTGGCAACCAGGGTTCTTCCTTAAATC